ACACACAACAACCAGTGCTATTACAATTAAGTATCAAGCATTACATTTCATTTAAATTGTCTTTACTTGCCCTGGCACTTACCCAAATTGAGGGTTATCAATGTGGTCCAAACTGGGCCTGTAGAATATGGCTGGTCTCTGATTTGATGTGTAGCCCGTCCCTCTGGGATGTCCGAGGTAAGAGGAGAAGTTTGCAGTGCCTGGCACTGAGACAGTGGTACAAATATTGGCCTTGAGAATCAGTTTAATACAGGTTACTTACAGTGATGAAAAGTAGCCTACATTTACCCAATAGCTGTAATTAAGTACAATTTAGAGGTACTTTTTATTGTCTGTGCCTTTACACTTTAGTCCATAGTAGTCCGCTTCAGTTTTGAAGCAAATACTAGAGAAAAAAACTAGCAGGTTCATATACAAAATATATATAAAGCGAAAATAAGCTACTTTTAGTTTTGGTACTTTAGGTATATTTTGATGCCAATACTTTTGACTAAGGACTTTGACTTTTCTTTGATATTTCTACAAGGTGGTGTAACTACTTTTAGTTACGTACAAGATCTAAGTACTTCGTCCACCACTGGTTATTTATGTATACTCTGAGACTTTCTGACAGGGTCCTTTAATTTGAGATAAAAGAGCCCCCCTCAGCATGCTCACCATAAGAAGTATTTTGTAGTTTGTTTCTGGTCGGTCGTCCCCTGCTGCCTGTCGGCATGACCATCCTCCCCTGCGCAGCCATCTGTGACTGCTGTAATGGAAACCGGCCTCAGTGACAAAAAAAGTGATGGATGACAAAACTCCTCTGGGCATGTGCTCAGCGCTGTAACCACAAACAGAAGCAGCAAACAAAGTGTAACTCCTTTGTTTTTAGGTTTGACAGAAACACAAGCTTTCTCAAGAAGTGATTACTGAGTCTGTAGCTAATATTGCAATAAGTGCTCCCTCTATCACATGCGGTTTGAGAGAGGAGAAAAAGTTCACAGCACAGCAGTACAGCTTCAGATATCTATATATACATCAAATACAAATTATCTTAGATAAAAAAGAAAGCTTCTGAGACATACCTGCATCTCCAGGTTGTTGTTCACCTCTCTGTCTTCGGGTAGTTTGAAGGTAAACATGTTTCTGTTGCTAGGAGATTCAGCACAAGGGGCAGCAACATTACCGCTCAACAGTGACTGCAGTGTCCAATGATTATATGTATATTACAGTTAATAATATCATAAGATAATATTGTTTCCGGTCCATGCTTTTTTTCGTTAACACTGATCCTACACAAGGGGCAGCTGTATTACAGTGTGTTAAATGTTTATATAATATGTGTCCTAAAAAGGGGGTAAAGTAAAGTTCTACCAATATAATGTTGTGTATTGGGAACTTTCTTTTATCGTACATACATTAAACAATATACCTTAACATATCTACATTGTATTTCTCATTCAAATTCATACCTATTTATATTATTTACAGTGCTGACTGTCTGACTGGTTTTAATTTAACAAGTGTCTCTAATTAATAATAATAATAATTATTGCACATACAAATTTGCACAATTAATTATCATCGTCGAAGGTAATTTATATAATTCCTACACCTTATTTAATTCAGCTTAAATAGTTCCTTGACTGTTTTAAAGATTACTATTATTGTATGATGTACAGGTTGTAAAGATTTTAAGTGGCATGATGTATAAATAAAACTGATTTGAATTCAATTTGAGCCGTGCAGTAGCAGAAGTCCTCATCAGATTCCTCATGCGTCCATTGGATGGCAGTGTGATGCTACAGTGGCTCTGACTTCAGGCTAGCCCAGAAAAGATGTGAGGTTATGTAAAAAATGATGGATGGCTAGATATTTGCATGACATCTTGATAAAAATGTCCATCCGAGAAAGGAAGTTATAATCTAGCGCTGTTAGCAGGAGAATGTGTCTGTACACCACACATCTGTACATGCATCTCAAATTGATCTGGAGGATGTGAACATCTGGTGTATTTAGGACACCATGAAAAACTGTCATTTTTCCAGATGCTATATACATATTCTCACTAACTAACCCACCAACAGGAGGGTTTTTGTATTAAATTAAAGGGGTGAAAGAGGGATATCTATACATACTGTAGCCTCAGCTTTATATCAGAGATGCCCATAATCGTAGAACTCGAACACTTCAAAAAGGGTGATTTTCTTCAGTGATTCATTTTTACGTGGGATTTAAAGTATTATATCTAACTGGGGTTTTGCCATAACATGCTGCTCCCCCAACGGATCATTTAATCTGACAAAGCATCATTGCTACATCATCTCCACACATTTCCTTTAATTCTCACTTCCTGTTCCTTCTCTTTCCATCTAATTTACTTAGACTGCTCTGCATCTTCACCTCTGTCACATCACTTCTTGCTCTCTCCATCTGCCCAACGCTGGCAGCCTATCTTTACCAAGCTGTTGCTTCTGTTTCCGTTCCACACTCTTTCTTTCTTGACGTGTTGTCGTGCCAAGCCTGGGACAGTTCATTATCTTTCTCAAAAAATAACTACAGGGGAACGCCTGCATCATTGAAACTGACAGTCTCATTTCCTGCTTCTTTTCTTTAAACACAATGTGCACATTATTGGCATTTCTAATTATAAACTCACAGCGATCCATACAGCAGGAATAGACCAGCCGCCTATTTTCATTCCAGTTAAAGATGACAGCAGATGATTTCACTTATTGGACCAACTTCAGATAGGAAGAGCCCATCAGTGCAAGCACCTGCTGTACTGTTTGAAATGAAAACCTGCATACTCTCCATGTGATCTCTTCAGTACAGCAATATGTGTTTGTTCTGCATTTGCATAATTCACATACAATATGAATGTGCTGTAGCCTGGCCCAGCTATAGGCAATTTATGATCAAATTTAGAATAAAAGTGAAGGAGGGAGGGTGTTCACATTTGAGATACCACTTAGAATACAGAGGGAGCTTTAAAGACTGAAAAAGGTGGGTGCAGTTTTTCTAAAAATAGATGGAGGTGATGCAAGCATGGGTCTCCCGTCGAGTTGATGCGTTTGGCTCGCCTGCAGCCGTCTGTTGTAATTCAGGGAGGGACCAACCCTCGGCCCTGTCTGCAGGAGCTCGGCTGTGCTTCCTGCCCAACTCTGAGCCAGGAGGAGAGTCTCGACAGTTTCTCTGTCGGTTCAATAACCTGTTTCTATGTCTGCCATACAATAGCATGGAATTCATATTTAAAGAGACATAAAGAGACGGCTCAGGCGCTAAGACCCCTCTTTGTGTGTCAGGTCTCGGAGGTGCTTTCTCTGCTTCACTGCCTCTCTGTTCTGGGTCTTATCTCCTTCCTGCTTCCTTTTTGACTTCTCTACTTAATAGGCAAATCTGGCAGGTACGGTTTGGAGTAAATTGCATTGTCATCTTTTTCCATTTCGAGTTTCAGTCATCTTTGGTGCGTGCAAAGAGGCAGGCTGTGACGAGCAGAGGGGGATTCGGGCATGAAAGAAGATATTTTAAGTCAAAACATGTATATTACCTGACATGTACAATATTGACTATTATGTAACTCGATGAGAAGAAGATTACATTAAAGACAAACTATTTCATCATGTTGATGTTGCAATATTGAATGTTTATAATGACACACACACACAACACACACACACACACACACACACACACACACACACCCACACACACACACACACACACACACACACACACACACACACACACACACACACTAGAAATGAAACAAACTGCAATGAGAGTAATGAGTGTCATCATCCTTGAAAATGGGATGAAAGATTTCCTCTGAGTGTAGCATGTAGCTTTGCAATTCATTTACCTTCATGCTGACTAATGTTATGCTCAGAGTAGAAGCGTCCCACTATGCATTTTTTAATTGCACTCAAAGGCAAAAATAACCTTTGCAAATTGTCACCTTTATCAGCAAATGTTAGAACAATTTGAATTTGAATGGTGTCATTACACTCTAATCACTTATATTGCAGTGTAATTACACTGTAATGTGCATTATGTGAGACAAAACATGGCCACAACCATTTAGTACCCCTGTTCACATTTTGCTGTCAGGCTGTTTTTTTATTTCTGGTCTTGAAACCTGACTTCCAATTAGGGTAAGAGTTAATGTAACAGCATACATCATATTTTAAACGTACACAAAATAAGTATGTGTCCAAGTTGACTCATTTAACCCCTTTAACAATTGTCCAACATATAAAATATTAAAAAAATCCCAAGATATTGAGTTTATTTATCAGTAAAAGAAAAACATGTTTCATGACAAAAAGAGAGCATATACTGTAGTCACAATTAGGAGCTTGAAAGTCTACAGTCAGGCTAGAACCTCTGTGAGTACTTGGCAATGATTTGTTTTCTATAGTCATCATACTTATAATATCACAATGACTATATCCGCCTCAATTTAGCAGTTTGTTGGCACTAAATGTATCATTAGAGGATCACCCAAATTATATGAATCTATCCCCTCGAGACCTTGGATATCTTGAATTACAATTTCCGTGGCAATTTATCGGGTTGTAGTCAAGACGTACAAAAATACCAACCTCATGGTGGTACTGAAGAAGAATTCAGAGGATCACTTAAGTCAGTAAGACTTCTGAGGACCATGAAACCATGAAAGGAAATCTATGAAATGTAGAGAACCTACAGAGTAGTTCAGGTGCATTCCCACCCCTAAATTCACTCTGCCACTTTAACATGAAAAAGGCTCGAGTCCCTCTCTATAACCAGTGTTTGGTTTTTGACAACTGTAGAAACATACGACGGACCAGGAAAATGACTTGCTCCTTTTAAGATGTGAAGCTTTCCTTCTAAGATAAATAACAAAACAATTCATAGTTCTATGAGATTAAACACAAATAAAAACATTTATTATATTCCTTATCTGCCAATAAATCCCCCTGAACACCGGTCCTTTAAAGAAAGACCATTTTTCAAAGAAAGACCATTGAATCTCTGTATAGTTCTTTTGTAAAAATGATTCTTTAATATGGAACAAAATCAGAGCTCAGCTCCATGGCTCCGTCCACCCAACACACTCTGTAACACTGATGGGTGGAGGAGAACGAGAAAATCAACCAGTAAGATCACAGTCCGCTCGGCCAAAAAACAGGAGAGGCTAAAAAAACATGGAACGCAAAACCAAAGTGCTACTGGGTTTGACCTCGAGACGCCCTTGCTCCCTTCCCTCCTGACCCAGGATGTGACCATGGGACGCGCCTCTCTGCCGCCCCCCAGGGCTCTGCCACCTCCTCACCCACCTCACCCTTTTCTTCCCCCATGAGGTTGGTGTGAAGGAGGGTAACGGAGGAGCAGAGAGGCGAGTGTGCTGGTCTTTATGCTGAGCGTGCCATCAGCTCTCAGAGGGACGTGAACACAGACAAGACGTCTTGGTTATTATCATGGCTCCAGCGGAAATGTCTGCAGCTCAGTCCCTCTGCTGTTTTTACTCCCCCAGCTTACGTGGTAATCTAATCGTCTTTAAAATGTTGCTCACTTGGTATTTAGATGGAATGTTTGAAGTTTTTGAGGAAATGAGACGAGGTAGGAGGGAGAGGACGTCTGCGGAGGCCGCCCAGTAAGAACCCATTACTATCCTAACACAGGGACATCAACAGAAGTACTACACAGATATGTACAGAGCAACCAAGCAACACATCGGAATACTTAGTAATAAATCTAGTGAGGGAAAGGGAAGGTAATAATAATCCACTACGAATGCACATATCCCACTACTTTTTTTTGTGTGTAGTTGATCCAATCTTTAAGTCTATTCTCTTTCTCTTGCTACAAACGGGGCGGCAGTGAAGCCACCACAACATAGATTTGAGCATCAGGGCTGTGCTTGACATCTGATTATGGCTGATTTGTGTTTCTGCGTGCTGAGCTGGCAGCTGCCCTTCTCCTCGGGGATTGTGAAGAGAGGTGGATAAAAGTACAACTCCGTGAAGAGAAGCAGAAACATGAACAGGGATGAGGATGCTCTTTTTTGTGCTAAATCATTCTCTGGTCCACAGAGTGCTGTAGGAAAAACTAGGTAATGTGCAGTGTGACGGAAGAGAGATGCTAATGCACAAAGAATCACAAATAGATGAGGAAGCATGGATTACTGGGAAATTAGACTCTGGTGGTGTTTGCATTACAAGCTGAATGGGAGAGTAAATGAGAAATTGAGAAGAGGAAGATGAAATCTATACGTGTAGGACGAAGCGTAACGAGGAAGACGAGTGGAAACGAGGTGACACGGAGAGAAGAGAGCTTCTGCCAGCTTCAGCCAACAGTCATCCTGCACCTTAACACACACTGCGTCACATGACACTACACAACTACATCAGAGAGAGGGGTGGGGAGGCACTGCACAGAGAGCACTAGTACTACCATGGACGGACACACATCTAACACACACACCCGCACACACACACACACATACACACACTACTGCACAGGGTCCCAGTCTGCGTTCCACTGCACTCTCCTGGCTGCCAGAACCTTGCTGTGTCTTGTTAAGAAAAAAACAACAAACAAACTAATTAACAAACAAACGGACGAAAAGAAGAAACAACACACACTTTGGATCCCACCGGCAATAATAAAAAAACAAACCAGAAACGAAACCTAGGATATAAAAAGAGCCAGTGGCACCGGGTTTTACAGAAAGCATTTTCTCAATGACTGGCTTTTGAACAGCTCTACGCTTTTTCTTTTAGTCTACCAAGTATATACTATTAACCTTACCAGGCAGCTAAAATCTATACAGTACTGTCATTTTTCATATATTTATAGATATTTATACACTATACAAAGTTGGCAAAAATACATAAATAAATACATTAAATCAGATTGTACACATCACAATTGTGTGTTTTAAGTTAGAGCACTCTTTGTTGAAGAGGTGGGCTATGGCAAGTGGAGAAAGGAGTTGAAGAAACAGGAGTGTTACCCTCGACATCCCTCAAAATTCAAAAGAGTGACCATCAGACTGGGTAAGTAATATTTCAGTGTATGGCATTAGGACTCGATAAGTGTATTGCTTATTACCTACCTGATTAAAATGTCCACATTATGGCAGGAGTTAGAGTATGCTCCAACGGAATCACAATTATATTTACAACCAGCGAGGAAAGAAAAAACAAACATCTTCAGAAGAATTAAAGGATTCATATTCTGAATGTATTCGCAGTGGATCGATAAGCGACAGATAGTGTGTGTATGTGTGTGTTTATTTTCTGACTCCTCGTGGGACTCCCTCAAAAGGATGGTATTACAAATGAAGGCAGGACTGTATTCTATGTCCTTCCTGCAGACAGCTGCTGGGAGTATCTGCTGTATCATATCATGTCTGTGGCGGAGACAGTCCTAAAAGTAACCAAACTGATAAGCTCTGTCCCTGTACTGTACATAAACCCAGCCAGATACACAAGGCTGTGGCATATGGAAAATAGGGGAGTAGGCGTACAGACACCTGCAGGGACTGTTATTAAAAATAACTGGACTACAGCCCTGTGCATTTTCTTATTTGGATGCAGCAGAGGGCCGGACATATGTCTGTTGAGAAGGCAGAGGGCAGATTTTTGGAGAAATCAATCTTACTCTACCTCACAAAACCCCTCATTTCAATACGTCTGCTATATGGGGTTCATAGCACTAGTCCTGGATTTTTCTTGCTGGAGTTTGAAAGTTCATACAAATATCTGATAAAAGAGGAGACGAGCATATAATGTGGCAAGTTCAAGGCAGTGCTTAATCATGAGTTTCCCCCCAGAATAGGAAGCTGAATCACAAGCAAATTGTCTTTCCAGGGTCGGAGTATGACAAACATCCTCCCACTTGGAAATCTCCCACCTCCTTACATGCCCATCCCCATGTATGGCCTCCAGCAGAGCAATAATGACTGCAAATTCAATGAGGTAGGCATCATCAGTGTCAGTGCAGGGCCAATCCTGTCTAACACAATGGCATTACAGTAAATCCCCAAGCCTATAAGCAGACGGGGTGAGATGTGATGCCAAGCGACCGGGCAGACTGTCTCCACAGGGAGGTGTCTTCTTACACAGCCAAAGACCGCTTCAAATTTATAGTAGAAGTACAACAATGTGTCACGCCGTGAGTAAGACAGGCTACAATTTGCGCCACATATCTCTCAGTCCACTTCCTGATAATGTGTCGGGGGGGTAAAGGTATGTGGCAGTGTTGCTACAGCGGGATGTGTTGGGTATCACTCCTTCCCTTTGTTTCTCTTGCCTCAACCTCACGACACCTCCAACAAAAATACAGCGGACATCAAAAGCCCTTATTCAAGAAGGGCAGGTATAATCAGCTTCAGCATCATCAACATCACTGTTATTCATCAACATCATTGTTTTCTTCATCATTTTAAGTGACAAAAGAAAATTCAACAAATATTAATTTTCACCAACGATATTTACATAAAGGTTCCAAAACAGAAGGATTTTCTTATCACATTTTTATAAAGAAATAAACCCAACACAAGAACACCAAGCACATACATACATACACACTGACCGACAGTCAAATGTGAACAGAAAGAAAAATATATTATTACTCGTTATTGTTTTTCATATTAATTTTGTTACCATTCAAATAATGCTTACTTGAACCCTGATTGGGAGAAGTCACATTGGTTTTCACCAGATGCTTAAAACAATTGAAAGGGTGAGTTAGGGGAGGTGAGGTCTGTCTGCGCAGGGTGAGAGCCGAACACGGAATGACCGCACAATGACAAATGTGACCCAGAAGACTTTAGGGCTGACTCAGCGGTCATATGATTCAGCAGAATAAAACGTCAGCTGCAGTCCCTCCAGTATGAGATAAGTACAGCCTGATTCTAATGCAGACACACACAAAGTTCTCTAAGACATAAAGCACAGTTTCCTTTAAATACATATTGCACACACCACAGCAAAGCATGCAGGCACCTTTCCAATAGAGTGAGTCATTGACACTCATCTTATGAAAGCCATATCCATCAATGGAAATGTAATGCCGCAGAATCACGAGGGGGGGAGTATGGCAAGGACAAACAATATCACTCGCTTCATTTAGAAGATCTTATATTTTAAGCTAAATGCTAGTCAGTAGAAATAAAAAAATACTTTAAGTAAAGCATCAAAATATATTTAAGGTACACATAGTAAAGTAGTCAATATGCCGAAGGGCCGATTTCAGAAAAAAATATATTTGATATCACTGTATTTTAACTATTAATGCATCTATCACTGTAATGTTGCAGCTGGCGAAGATTAAGCTAATTCAAACTACTTTATACACTGATGGTTATCTTAACCTATAATAATATATCATAATGTATAAGTCATACTTTGCATTAATTATCTTAATCTGCGAGGTAGCTAACTTAAAATATAATTATCAAATATATGAAGTAGAGTACAAGTCCTTCAAAACTGTACGCAGTGTTGAGTAAGTGTTACTTCCCACTACTGCACAATGGCAATGCTAACGTGCTAATATTAACCAGTATAATGTTTACTATGGCTGTGACAAATTGACTTTTCCTAAAGTAAAAGCAACCTTCAGATTGACCACCTTATAAAGAGAAATCAAAGCACCTTGGTTAAAATGTAATTGAACTCAAGTATCAGTTTAATGAGCCTTAATTCTGTGGCAGAGTTGTGGACAGTGTCAGTCTTCTTGAATGAAACCTCAGCAATCAAACGGTAATTATCCACACCTTCACCGACCAATGACCGGCCAGAGCATGAATCACTGATGAAAAAAAAGCGAGGCTGAACACAAGGAGAGCAGGTACACAGAGTGGAGTTAGCCTGAGAAAAGACATATGCAGCACTGCCATGCTGTATTCATGAGCCCAAGATTGTTGAAGGTCGTTGCTGGCAGTGCTGGTGCCAAAAGAAACACAGCTCCTTAAGAGTTGTTGAGACAGGTGGCGGTATAATAAAACTGGGATTTTGAAATTACTTTCTCCTCTGTACTGTTCGGCTCTGAGCTTACCATCCATTTTAATGGTGTTGCTTTTTGACTGCTGGTGCTGAGAGAATAAAAGGTTTGAGACTTCTGGTTATTTTAAGGAAAGTGCAACTTTCTGGATACCCTGTGATAAATCATATGCCACAGTGTTCCTCTTCTTAGGAAAGTAGAGGCTATAGTACTGTACAGACACATTTGAGAGTTTTTTCAGTCAGTTTCAGATTAAAAAGTTAACTTTGTGACAACGAGGATGAATTGTCACTTGATATCTTTTATTTAAATTAATAAGAATACACGATGGATTAGAATTACCATAGGTAGAGTTTACGACTTTCTTCTTTAACAGTTCAAAAAATATACTTCACTGTTTTACCAGCCCAATACTTGCTGACTTGTCCTAATTTTATGAAGATAATCAATTTGTTAGCTTGATTTTGTACTGATGACATGTTTTAAAGGTCAGCTAAGTAAAAGTGAATTACATTTTAGTATGTTTCCACCTTCAACAAATATGCAGTTAATGTAAAAGAGAGGGGTTTAATCCTCATCTAAATATTGGGTTTCAATAAGGCCAGAATAAATCTGTAAAATGTAAATAATAATTACTATATTGCGATACAAAATATCTTTCCATTGATATTATTTTCACATTTACTTATAGCAGTGGGGTCTTTGGTAACCCAACAAATGATTAAGGTCAATAACTTCTTGTTTTTGCCAAACTGTCACTGCTACAGTAATTACTTAATGGCATTCCACTTAACTTTTGAAAATAAAAAATGACCATGGAATGAATTTGCATTTAAGAACTCTGTAATGCAAAGCACTCAGTACTTTTCTAAAAGCTTCCAGCCTCCAGTGCACCTTTGAGGATCAGTAACAGCGCACTATGCCTCATGTTACTAAAAATAAAGCCATATCCCCCAGTTTACAGGGTCACTGATGACTAAGCGTTGCAAACCCTCGTAGCATAGCAATTTATCTCTCCTTGAGCTACTTGTAATCATAGTGAAAGGAAATGGCAGCGGTATTGTGTTGACTCATCACCTGCACATTCAAACCACGTTCAGTTTTCACAGCTTTACACAGCGATTGCTTCCTGATTATTTTCTTCATTTTGAGTGACACATCTTCATCCCCATCCATCATCTTCATGCCTGCTAATGGAAATGCTTCATAGTTAGTTTTTATTCTTAGCGAGTATTAACTCTGCAAATAGTGAGTCCCTAATGTCCAAGAAAGCAGATATTACTGCGTTCTGACTAACAAATAGGAAGGTAATGTGCTGTGAGACTGCAGGCAGAGGCTGTCAAAACAGTGGGCCCTGCTCCAGGGCTGGCCAATTGTTCTGAAGGGTGCTGGACTGGATCAGTGCAGCACCGAGGCTCACACCAAACACACTGCCCAGAACACACTCGTGGCAAACAGTGCGCTGCCAACACCGGCCTATAGAGACGCTGGATGAGGACTAGCCTGGTGCAGATAAGACTACAATAACATCTCTCTGGTGGTGATCAGGTTCTCATAATCGTAAATCAAAACAAGCAAAAAAGCATTAGATACTATCAAGGGACTGCATGAAATAGGGAATCAAATATACTGCAGGGCCCAAAGTATATAGGTATCATTTTAATGGGGCCAGTTGAAAGTAACTTCAAACGCTGCATTAACAGAAGCAGGGATGCTTCAACTAAAAACAAACAGCTGATTTATTTGCTCGGTGAGTCAGTCAAACATGACAGATGTTCGAAAGGTGGATGCTCATTTAGACATAAAAACCAGGCTGCTACAGAAAAACACAAATCCTGACAGGATTATGCTTCACAAGTCTTGAATGTGAAAACACACACTGTTAGAATAGAGAGAGTACACTAAGAAAGAGTAGACATCTGTGTGAGCAGCTCTTAATGGCTGACAGTATTCATGGTGCTGCTCTGTGACTGTTTTATTTACGTTACAGGAATATCGAGCTGAGCTGAATGTGCGTGACAAGCAGGGCATCTACCAGTACACTCTGTGGTGCTTTCAAGCACACAGGGAAAAGATAATGTCTAATCTGCTTCCACAGTATCTCGCGGTGGTAGATCAGACCATCATCTAATATCACACGAGCTGTCTGGGTCATTCGCAGTGTCTGTGAGTGGCAACAAAAACTCAGAGAAAGGCATGACGTCTTTTTTATCTTTCCGCAATAAAGCATGAATCCACATCTGCCTTGCTGTTTCCAGACATGCACCAGTTGGGGTGACAGGGCCTTCGCAGCAGCCTCCCCCACACTCTGGAACTCCCTCCCCAGCCACGTCAGATCCGCCAACATTCTCACATCATTCAAACAATCCCTCAAAACTCACCTTTTCACTCTTGCCTTCAACTCCTAATCAACTAACCCCTTGCCCTTATTCCTCCTAGCTTAGCACTTTCTACTTTTGTTGTTATTTTGTTTTATTTGCTTGTAAGCGCTTTGAGCACCAGGAAAAGCGCTTTATAAATGTAATGTATTATTATTAGTTGTTCAGCATCATGGACTCACATAGGAGCATCAAGACTGTCAGCGCTCGCTGTGATCAACACTTTGTCTAATAGCACTGTTGTGGTGGCCAGCCTGCGCGTGACAAGCAGACAAGCGTGACCTCTCTATCCTCGCCTGACAATCAAACACTAGCGGCCCGACACCAGGAGTCTGGCAGCTGACGTACACAAACTTGCACATATATTTGTACTCAGGAGTACTGAGGAAAACGGGGAACAAAAAGAGGAGAATGAGAGCCCTACATCACTCCTCTGTGTCCTTCACTTCATCTCCAAACCCTGAAATTACACAGAAGACGTCTCCTCTCCCCAACTGCTGCTCACCCTTTCAGATACTCCTCCCTTAATTTTCACCAGAACTGTAATCATCATCAAAACTGTCATTATCATTATTATTGTTATAACATTTTCAAAAAGTGCAGATAGAACTTCCCTGTGCCCTCGTTCTGAAGGCTGGGCAGTAAAGTAGGATGGGGGAAACAATGGCAGTAAGAAGAGCAAGAAGAGCGCAAGATGAGAAAGAGAAAAGAGAAGAAGATTTCTGCCAAGTCTGAGTCGTGTTGCTCCTGTGAACAAACACACACATACACATAGCAAGAGGCACACATTAACCCAGCACACCTTCAGTCGTGGAGATAGACCTCCAACAGCACATGACCACAAAACAGGACAAAGGTCATAGCATCAATAAACAGACGGAAGTGTGCACAAAACCAAATGCATGTGCACAAACAGCGCAAACTTGTTGCTTCTGTTTTCATCTTAAAATTGGAAGAAGATTTTAAATTGGTTTCCTTTGCTGTGAAAAATGACATCATGGTATCATGTGGGATTTCTTTTTGTTTGGGTCTTTTTCATCTTCTTTTTTCTCTCTCCGTCTCAGGGCTTTTTGTCTGGAAAAATCAGGAGCGATCCATTTCACACGTTTATTGTGTTCCTGCTTTCCCAGTTTTGGAAAGTCCAGTTTTTTTTTTCTTTTTAATCTCTATTTTTGTTGGAGCTACAGCACAGCACCCACAGCACACAGACGACAAGGAGGGGTGGGGGTCCAGAAAGGCTGGATACACTAATATTGTGCCAGAGGAAGAGAAAGAGGAAACCATAAGGATAAAAAGAGGGGAAAAAGAGGGAGAGAAGAGAAAGCAGTATCAACAATTTCATCTCGAGTTTAGCAGGTTTCATCACAAACCGAGTATTGATTGCTTTCCACGACTTCAGCTGAACATTAAAACCACTTTTGAGTAAAAGGAGGAAGGCTGAAATGGACAGGATATAGTACAATTGAGACAGATGACAAGGCGTCTAATGATGAGAAAAGAGGGATGGGAAACAACAGACAGGCTATGGATAGCATACGGTACATTAATCATGGGTATAGGGGGAGTTCTGCCAATCTATTCCTAATATATTAATATGTACATGTACATAATGTACATACTGTATAGTATTGTTTACCTGGAATAGTCATACAATAGGATTATATGAGATTAGATCGTTACTTAAGATTCTGTGATCCCACAGGACTGGCACCTTAAATGGGTCGAGGATTGCAGTGCAGTTCAGAACCAAGGGGTCGACAAAGAAACTGCATATCGGACCTCCACAGGCAAAGTGCATAAGGACAGACAGACATACAGACAGTCAGAAACAGGGGGACCATTGGCAAAGTCGTGAGACACAGAAACTAAGACACAGCTGTATGAAGAGGAGGGAATAGAAGAAGTTAGAAGAGTGGGAGAGGAATAGAGATTTTGAAAGAAAAAGAGTTTAAAGGTTTAAGAGAGCAGATGGCTAATTGTACCCGTGTTTCGCAGCCTGGCAGCAAGTCAGTCTTGTGCATAAGGACAGGTGGGAGGAGGGGGGGGGGGGGGGGTCGGGGGAGTGGGAGACGGAGAGGGGCCGTGGACGAAGCTGGGCGGTGCGATCAGGCCTTGAGAGCGTGCCACTGGGCGACGTTAGTACGCGGCCGAGCGAGCATGTCTTTCCAGTGCTTCACCTCCCCGGGTCCACTCTTCCACGATAGGTAGATCTGAGAGAGGGGAAGGATGATGAAGTAAACTTAGGAATATAACCCTTTTCAGATATGGAGTGCATATTAAATATGGGAACATTAACATTTTAGTCCACATTACTCCTGAAACAAAATACCAGACCAGATTAAAATCAATTAGCTGGATATCTTATTTGATCTTAAACCTCTTATTGTAACAGTTTTGCATAACTTTATTTTATTTTATCTACAAAATATTCTTGCCCAATCAGAACGTTTTAGTTGTTACAACCTGCTGCTTTTAATTGAACTATTCACATCTTAAACTGCACTGTAGCTTTTATCCATGTATTTTTTCTTTTAATGTTTATTTTATTATCTTTTCTTTTTAATGACTGATTTTAAATGCCATTTTCTTAATGTCTTTCATTTTTTGTAAAGCACTTTGAATTGCCGTGTGTTGAAAGGTGCTATATAAATAAACTTGCCTTGCCTTGCCTACAATGGTTTTGTAGGCAAGACCATAATTATGTATAGGTTTTCGCTTTGTGTATCCCTGTTCTTTGTTTTTGTAATTGACAATTGTCATTGCATTTGAAAATGGCCCCTTGATAAAAAAAGGTTAAATTAATAAACATCTCTTTATTTTTAGGTAATGGCATTTTGTCATTTAGACATGTCAATTACATTCATTTTGCCCTCAGTCAGACACGGCAGCACCTTAACGGAAAGAGCCACAATATTTGTGCGATATTTGGCATCAGGTATTTCAGAGGGACTAGTGCTGCGAGCAGGGATGAGTTGAAATGAAAGAAGGAGCGTGGAGTTTTCTCAAGCTGCCTCACATTATGGATTTTGAAACATATTTTAGCCATTGAAACCTCACACCAATTAATCCTTTTTTGTTGTTGCTGTAAGGCCCTGGAGTCTCCACTGGTTGCCTGGCAACTGCTAGAGCAAGTCCCTCTGCTTTCAGTCTTTATGCTAAGCTAACCCGAGTCTCCTGGCTGTAGTTTTAACACATCATTGCAAGGCATAAGAGTGTCTCCCAGAAAGCTAATATGTATGTTTCCTGATGTCAAATAATTACTTTAAAAACAGAGAGAGGGTTAGCCTGATGACAAAATGAAAACAGTAAGTTTTGCTAACACGTACATGTTGTTGTGTAGACCTATAGGTCCAGATTTTTAAACTTTTCTCCAGGAATATTTCTATTCATTGGTCACTTTGGTCAACGCTGGTGAAAAATGTATGTGAGTATAAATAATTCAATTATTAATTACTGGACTGTTCACAATTTGACTGACCTCAGTGGCTATGTAATAGGAGGGCTCTCTGCCAAGGCCATGCCCTATCATACTGAGACTGAGTGAAAAATAATTTGTGTATCCCTCGTGATTGGGATACTTTCCAAAATGTAATGGGTTCTTTCTTGGCCCATGCTACAGCCTTACATGAAACACAGAGTGTTTCCTTAATTCCTGCAGAACAACAGACAAATACACAAACAAAACGGAAAACAAACTCCTTGGAGTTTAAAAGGAGCTGAAGGTGGATATGCGTAACCAAAGGCAACAACACAAAGAGTAATGTGAAGCGTTACCTTTCCGATAACGTCGTTGCGGCTGAGTCTGTCCTTGTCCATGACGGTGATGATGATGGTGGTCTCCCTCAGTACGTGGGCGGCCACTTCAAAGGGGAAGGACTCGTTGAAGATCGGGTTCAGACAGCGCTTCATGGTCACCGTCTTCTTCTTCTCTACACGCTTGTCCTTGTGCATCAGCCACACCTTGACGTATGGATCTGCAATGTAGACGCAGAGCAGTTTACATGATAGCAGGGGCGAACATTTCCATAAAAGGTGCATTTTAGTGTCAGGTTTGCAATTAACCTCTTAATTGTTAAAGTCATGGAAGACAGCAGGGAAGCAGATAGCTAGATAGAGCTCAAGGTCAACTTCTCCCCTGAGCTAGGAAACATACAAATGAGGAAGTATTTATGGAAATAGGGCCTGGGATTTGTACTAGGATTCTGGAGCATTATCATATTCTGTAAATACTAACAGACACTACTGCAGGAAGCAGTCATTTTAAAAAGATAAATGCCACAGAAAGCACAGGGAGACTTGATACTTTAAGAACTAGAACCAGACTGAGCCGACACAGATTTGGCTTGGAGGCTGAAGATCCTCTTAGATATACAGAAAGAGAGCGAGAGCAGGAAAGATAGAGGGCAAGGGAGAGATGCTTGATTTAATGTCACCTTGCTGCCGTAGCTATCTACGGTTCAACTCGGTTTAGGAGCCAGACGGCAACCGTCTCCAGCACGGACAGGTCAGCAAATGTTTGAACACAGAGATGGAGCTTCCAATGTCATGACAAGGGCTTCAGACGGGTGAGCAAGGGTGAGAAAGAGAAAAGATAAAACAAACATACCTGAGGTGCCCCCGATATCCATGGCTTTGAGATTGCGCGCTTTGATGATGTTCACAGTGATGGTGTTGGCAGTGGGATTATAGCAGAGAGACAAAAGCAGGTCTCCCCGTCTCCCCTGAGGAACACAAACAATGAATCACCCAATCAGATTTCATCAGGGAAAATCAAACTCCAGATTACTCACTAGCTGTAATCGTACATCACTGCTCTAACCCTTCATGCCAAACACAGATGGTCCAGTGACCAGGCGGGCTTAGCTGAGCCTGTTGCTCAACCTGACATCTCAAGCTGAGAGCAGTCGACAAATGACATCACACTTTAAATTAAAACTGCAATGAATGAAAACACTGGATTCTTCATCATTTGGGCCTGATGGCCATCTCTCCCTCTCTTACGCTGCCATCACTGCAGGGCTTCAGCTCCTTCCAGAAGGTCTTTATCTGGCCCAGCTCCACCTTGTTGAGGGGGATTGACACCTCTCCGATGGGGTCATTCCTGCTGAAGCGGTCATGGTCCATCACCTGGAGGTACAGAATTCGCTCTCTCACTTTCTCGTAAGGGAAGCCTAAAACAGAGAAAGAAACGGGGAGAGCTAAGTTGCAGAGAGTGAAATAAATATTCTTGACAGTACAGAGAGGGTAATCTGCACTGTGCTAACGGGGAGGAATTTGGCAAAGGCCAAAGTGGATTTTGAAAACTGCAAGACCAGCCAAAAGACTGAGAGGGATCATTATACTCGAGTAATAAGAAATATTTCATTCATGTTTCAAGAGCACTGGCTTCTGTTCTCATTGTGGAGCCTTTTGAACATCATTCTGGCTATTTTACCATTGGGCATTGTCATCCAGGCAGGATGGTTAAAATGAAACAACTTCAGATCATACAGATACTTGTGTGTCTGCTTTTTTCCTCTGCAGTTGCTATGCTCAAAAATATTGCTTTTTTTTAAATAAATGAAAAAAAAAAAAAAAAATCACATTGTTTGTGAATTCTCACACATCTCCCACAGTGCTCCTTGTGGGTTCAGAAATGACTCTTTGTTCATTCAAATGTAATGAAACAATTAAACAAACGTAAGGTTGTCAGTGAGTTCAGAATGGAGTTCCGCAACACTTTGTAATATAAACAATATAATGAGTTTTATTCATGCGAGTCTATCCTAAAGGACAGGATCGATAACACACTCAGAGGTTAGCTACATTAAAACTGTATGCAGGGGGAAACAGTTAGTTGGCCCACAAATGTTTACACATTCATCTTTTAACAGATTAAAGAACATTAATCAGAGCGCATTGACTGATGTTTAGCAAGTTGTTGTGGTTTTTGAAGGGTTGTTCATAAGTGTAAAAATGTTAATAGCACATTTGGAGAAAAAAAACAAACAATACAATTGCAGCATTTCTTCTATAAGCAACTGAATGGAAACAACACAGACCCTCAAACAAGAAGGTTTCGTTCCAGTTCGGGTTGAGGTTCTTCCTTTTGACCTTGGTCTCCAGCTTGTGCTTTTTGTCGGGCAGCAGGTAGATTTTGACGAAGGGATCGGAGGTGCCGGAGAAGTCCTTTGCGGGGAGCTCCTGGCCCCGGAGAACTTTGACGGTGAGGGTCGTGTTTTGGAAACTGTAGCCTATGCTGAACTGGATCCGGCCCAGCTTCTCACTGATGGGCCCTTCACCATCATCATCCTCTGAACCTGGAGACAGCTGCGGGGCCACAAATGTAGGCAAAAAAATATCAAACACATGCAGTAGCAACAGCAGCCACTCACAGGAGAAGTTCAGACCAAGGGCACACACCTCCTCCCACACAGACCGTGACAGAGAGACGCTGTGAGGGGAGGAGATGTTAGAGCATAATTTCTATCAGAGCATACTCAAGCAGCTGCTCTAAGGCAGAGATTGGTCTGACATTAAGAAGACTGAGAGGGTTTAATTTCCTTTCTAATGTTCTTAAGAGGCAGGAGGTGCTCAGATTGTAGATAGGCGAGCTTTAGACCACCCATTCTCCCTTACAGCCACTCTGACTGCTTTATCACTGCTGTGCACTAAAAGGCCACTATCTGATAGACAGCAGCGGACAGAGAGGGGAAAGAGAGAGCGAGAGACAAACAGAAAGAGTGGGAAGGAGAGAGAGAGAGCGTTTCACGAGTGGCACAGAGTGAACGAAAGCACAGCTCAAGGTTGGTGGTCTGCACTCGCAGCTATAGGCTTTGTGGTCACCTCTTTTCTATCCCTGCCTCCTCCTTCTGTCTCTCCTCTTCTTTCTATGCAACAATAGCATTGATTAGAAAGAAGCGTTGGAGGACTTTGAGGGAGATAATACAATCAGTAGCTCACTTTGTGCAAGTTCCTCCATTGATACTTTGGAAGATATCATCTTGGTGGTCTGGTTTGCATGTCACCTCAATCGGAGCATCAACTGAAATAGTTCTTCTCAATGTTTTAGGTCAGAGCTTTAATTTCAAAGAGGAAAAGACTCAGTCACTCAGCTTCTGACAATATGGGTTTTAGAAGTGACAGGCAGCGCAAGTGTGAAATATTCCAAGTCTAATTTATCAAACAGTGTGAGTCACCTTGGATGGCTTGTCTCACTTGATTGCCGCTGTAAGAACTGCCTGTGTTTCTTTTCTGTTCCATTATGGCTCTCTTATTATCACATGCAGCTTTAAATCAACCTGCATGGCTCTAGCATGGAGGATGACTTGTAGTAGGCTACCAAAAATATGCGAATAGTTGCAAAAATCACACACACACGAGTTTACTAAATGTAACTTTAAAACTTCGGGCATCAGTACGTTTCCTTCACTCTTATGGTTTCTGGTTCGGGAGAGAAACTCCCTATGGGAACTTTGGGATTTTATCCCTTTCCGACCATTTAATTGCACACAAAAAAACTATATAACACACTACAGGAAAGGGAACATGTCTGAAAGGGCCTCTTTAAAGCTGTTTTCTGCATTGATTGACATACACAATTATTACAAATAGGATGTACAGTCGTTTTTATGGAAATGAAACAATTTGCCTTTTTCACTTTAATATGTTTAAACTTTTTTTTTATTTTTATAGAAAACTGCTGGAGTGCTCCTTTAAGGTTTTCTTTCACAATTTAGTCTGGCAAATTTCAAAATGTCCCCTACTGTCAACACATCGTATGAAAGGCGAAGAACTGCAAATTGATCCTTCTTACAGTTGTGTTTGTAGCTAAATAAGTCATATATAGTAAGTGATTTCAGGGTGGATAGCATCCTACTTGTAAGACAAATTACCAAAAGTGATGTCCCCTGTTATCCATCTCCAACCCCCTCCATCCCCAACAGTGAGAGTGCAGGGGCAGAGGGGATGTTTATTTAAATGTGTCCAGTCGGCCTGAAACATTGATCATTTATCTGATGTCTAATGTCTGTGCAGCTCAGAATCTATTGCCCTGATCATGTCTCTGAAATATCAGTAGCATAACTGTGCTCTGTATTGACATGGCGCTGCTTGTGGTGCTTTAGTAGCAGTAGACAGATTTGTAATTACAATCAGGGAATTACAAAACGCCTACTGCTCATATTGCTTATTCCTCTGTGCTATACTGTAATCTAAAATCTATTAAATCACGTAAATGAGCCACAATGTTGCACTGGGTGGCATGATCCTCCAATAGATCAGCTGTTTTAGTAAAAACCTTCTTGCAAAGGGAACATTACAGTGTAGAAGTTACATACATTTTTTAGCTTGTCTGCTATTTTATGCTTTTATGCCATCTGTCTGAATATAGTTATTTTCACCCCGTTAAAAAGCTCTGCATTACAACGGTCTCTTTAACCCCAGTTTGCCAAAAAGTACTGTTCTCCAGCTGTTGGTGGATATACCCAGATGGGGGGAAATATATTATAATAAGCCTGCATGTGAGGGGAGCCAAATCTGAATGGTTGAATCCCAAATTTGTTTATCTAGGCAGCCCACAAAAAACTGGCTGGGCTTATTTGACAGTTTGTGGGTTTGGCGAGCAGTCCAGATAGAAAAATACAAAAAAAAGGGTTTTCACAATAGGTACCCTTTGAAGGCTTGGATATTCAGTACATGTAGGTACCAATGTGTATAGCTTGGTGTCACAGATAGAAGCAGAACATATGTCATGTATAGGTGTGGTGGGAGGGTCTTACCATCACCATGTCTCCAGTGAGTGAGTTGGCCAGGTCAGTCACGGACTGGCCGTCGGGGGGTCGGCCCTTGGGGCTGTTAACTGGCTTGTTGCCCCTGAAAGCAAAAACATTGGTTGATCCAGAGGAAACAAAGCAAGGACATGTGCTGAGAAGCTAACTCGTCTCTGGAAAGAGAGAATGTCTGAGCACACAGGGAGTCCAACCTCCACCTGTCTGAAACGACCAATTGAGTCCAAGTTTGCTTTGGATAGATGTCACTTCAAAGTACAGTAGATTATGCTTTCTCTAGCTACCATGAGCGAAGCCAAATAAATCTGCCAAAGATTCCACAGATTAATGGCGGGCACTGTAACTGAGGACATTTGATGCAGTGAATTGTGTTTGATGAAACTTGGAATCTGAGATGACTGTACATATGTCCAGTGTGGCAAACATCCATATCTCTAACAAAAAAGTTACCTCCGACAAGTGCAAACACAGTTTCAGACAGAAAACAAAACCACTTCATTTAATAAATATATTCTCCAATTCCCATAGAGTTTATGATCAACCCATAATTCCCTCTACAGATATTAAGGAGACACACATGTATAAAGACATTTATAGCAACATGACGTCACTTTATGTACAAAAGACAGACATGTATAGCAACGCGTAGAGGATCAGACGTTTCACGGGACAGATGAAGTAGTGTTGATGTGTTTATATCTCAGTTATTAAGAATATGCAACAAAACAAAAAAAATATTAAAAAACTTAAGAGAAAGCAGAGATCTCCCATGGCAAAGCTGGTACTTAGTAAAAAGTTAATAGATGTTAAGTTTAGTTTCCTCACACGAGGATTGTTGAAAAAATAACGTTAAAGTGGGACAAACAGTGTGGGAGAAAAACCTCAAGGTACATACATCATGAAAACAATCACAAAGTGTAAAGAAAGTAAAAGAGAATACATATTATGAGATTAAAGAAAGAATGAAAGAAAGGTAGAACAAGAAAGAGCCCAATGCGAAAGTGTTGGCCAATGTAATGTGACACATTGGACACACAGCACTCCATAGATGACTGGTCAAGGCACATGGAGAGGCTGAACATTGAAACACTGTTAGGCAATAAACGAACAGTAAATAGAGAAATACACACAAATATAGAAATTAGAAGACTCAAAGAGGTTGCAGACACACACAACAGTAGACATAAATCATAAAGACTTTAGATAAGATAGATGCTCAATAAGAAATGTAAGAAATAGAAAAAAGCAAGCGGAAAATTATTAATCTGTATCAGAAGAGATAGAAAGCATTAATAGCATGAACAGTGAGGTTACGGAAACCAAAACCAAACGGAGTGAGATCGTTACAAACACCAGCACATTAGAGAGAAACAGAGCTGCAAGAAAATATATGAAATGAAGGAAGGAAAGCCTGGAAACACAAGAAAGGCTTAGTTTGGTCAGTCTGATAAGTATCAAAGAATAAGAGACGAAAATAAAGGGCTATTCACACACACAATACATCTAACAGAGGCAAAGGGGTGGACATGCTAAAGGGAGAAAAGAGCACAGAGAAGAAATGATCACCAGTTAAAGAGAGCAAGAAACATACATTTTAATGTGGAGAACTCAAAATAAACACAAGATGATATATAGTATGATAGAAAGATAAGGATAAACAGTACAAAAATATAATATCATTGAAAACACAGAAACGGACAAATAGTAAGAACATAGGAGATGCACATTTAGAGTGTCACAAAAGAGGGCGTTGATAGAAATAAAGTAATATAGCTACAAATTATAGAAGTTAACTTTACTTCTAACCTGATTTTCCAATCATTAAGCAACACTCTAAAAGTTTGGACTGGGAACACAGAGGCCAAAGCACAAACTGGCATTGGCTACATGTGCATATATATTATATGCAAGTAGTTGTCACTCCGAGAGTGAAAGCAATGCCTTGGACAGGCCGAAAACAAGGAGCGCATAGAAAGTCTGTCCGTCTGGCCAGCAATCTGCCGAGCGTCTCACTGAGAGAATGTACTTTTTTGTTGGGCTGCGAATTGGGATGACAATTGATGTTGAATGTAATAATGTGTACATTTTTGCTGAAGACAAGGACAGAACTGGGGGGAAATATACTGACAAATAGACAGACAGAAAAAGCAAGCAAGCAAACAAGACAAGCAAACAGACAATCACTGCAACCAGCAAAGGAACCAGAGCGAGACGGGGGGGAAGGAGGGATGTTAACCGTTTCAGGAAGGGAAGGGAATATTCATCAATTGGTGTTAGTTGTATTAGTTGCCAAGGGAGGTAATTACATTTTCAGGGGGCTTGTTAATCCCTTGCACAAACTCTAAACTGCAGGCGAGTTTGAGAGGCGAGGAAGAGGCTGGGTATAATACTAAACCAAGATCTGAGGATCAGCTCGAAAGAGCTCTAAAGCACGGAGAGAGACTTTGGGATTGAAGTAAAGCAAGGCACTTCCCTCCTCCTCCACATCCCCACTATCGATGGGGTAGTGAACGTCTTCAATTATTCATTCTCTTTCATGCTTCATTCAGGGGTTCAGTGCATTCTCAGGTAAGATCTAGTGCAGCCGAGGGATGGCCTTCCTACCAGCCCTGCTCCACAGCACCTGAGCGTCCTCCAGGCTGTTTAGACAAAGCGGCTGGAGCTGCAGATTTGTTGCAGCAAATAAAATACTTCCTCCAGATCATACAGAAGATCATGAATTGGATAAACGAGGATTGGTTTCAGAAAAAGCTAAATTAATTGTGGCAGATGGAGATACTACAACTGCTACATTTCAGTGCCAAGGCTTTTTCAGTCCGACCCTGAGGAGGGTTGATATGGAAATTGACGCTCTAAAGCCTGCAGTTGTCTACAGTATCCAGTGGGAGGCAGAGTGGACTCGAGTTCAGATTCTCCATCAGCTAAGGCACAGAAAGTGGGCTGTTGGCATAGCAACGGCTCTAGAAACACAGACCATACATTTGGGGGTTTGGGGTGTGTGTGACGAGAGGTTGTTGGGCGTCGGGGAAGGGTGTGTTTGGAGGGGTGCAGCAAACAGGCGAACACACAGAACATTAAGGTTTAGGATATATGACAGGTACGGGTGAGAACCTCGCAGACACACACATGGACAGACACATGGAGGCAGGCCGGGCCACTTTGGGTTTCACCGTCCTGTGATACTATCCTTTTTTTGTTACCTGACCGAGGGCCAGCAGCTCGTAGAGAGGGGGAGGGGGGGAAAGACACTCCACTTCTAGGCTGGAGAGAGACGCGAGAAAGAAAGCCCAACCCAGACCCTCTTTTTTTTTTTCACCCCTCTGCAAACATGTCACACCCAAACAAACATGCTCGCCTGGAACCATTAAGTAATGTATTTGCAATGTCTAAGATGCCCACTAGATCTATCATTCTTCAGGGGCCACAGCACACTTCCCAGGATCATACACAGTCAAAACCACAGCAGTGAAGCAGAGCGCTGCTTACATAATCCACATGAAACGCATGTACATTCACACTGGAGTCATTCCTGCTCCTTCACTTCTCAGCCTACGACCAACAATTCTGCTGCGACATAAATATGGATGCTTTCACTGTTAACTAATTACTTCCTGCACGTTGGAACTGGAAATTAGTCTAAAATAGCATCGCTTACTGAAATCCGACTTCACCCAGCAGCAAGGGAGGTGCTAAATGCTGCCTTCTGTGTTTCTGCTCCTTCAAATGGAAATAGAAAAACCACAAGACAATTCAGTGGGTGCCAAAGTTGATCTTTATAAGCGCCGTTATAAGTCTGTTTTCATTTTATTAGAGGTGGTATTTCAGATGCAATGCTTTTGACTTCGGTAGCCGGCAATTGCCCTTTTCACTTTGAAACAGTCCAGCATTGCAAACATGATTACTTTTTAATCCAAAAATGAGCTTAGTGTCTACTCTATCTATACTGTGGCAGTTGAGCCCCAACTCTTTATGGTCTCCCTATAAACTCTGCAGTTAAGCATTCAAGATGTCTCAGAGCTCAATTAAAACAAATAACCCAATCGCACCAGGGAGTTTCCCAACATGAAATCATCAAAACATTTTTTTTAAATCCCATTAAAATAAACAAATCCAAATCAAAGTGTTTTGAATACCGATTAGATCCTCAGATTGCCTGTGATGTGGAGGCTGCTGCTGATGTGCCACCGGTTATGAGGCAGGACACGAGGGTCCCGGGTTAATGCTCCTAATAGATCCCCCTACCCAACCACAATCCATCTATCTGTATGTATGAGATGTGTACCAGCATGTAGTGGCTGCTGGCTAGAGTGCTGCCTTCAGCCCCGCATCACGCATGGATGTGCAGAGTACAATAAGTACTCCCTCGTCCTACTACTCTCTTGGATGGTAGATGGATCTGCTCCCTGAATATTCCCTCATCCTGCCCCGACATATGGACTGATGGATGTTCGAATGCACTCCGCCTCTTTGTAACTTTTCTTTTCCGCCTTAGTGCCATCTACTTTCCCCTTCTCTAAGCACATAAGCAAATGAATCAACATTCCCAGTGTGATGCTAGAATGAGCGGGCGGCCGGAGCCTCGGGGACCGTCTTAAGCAGAGCCCCCTGAAGACTCTGCTGATTAGCCGGGCCGCAAAGCCCCTTTCACAGGAGGGGCAGACTAGCAGAGCATAGCATAATCAATTTACATGTTTATGTACAAACAGATTATATCATCTGGAAGCTTTGTAACAGTCGTTTTTTCTATTATCTGAGAAAACAAAGCTTGAAATTAGCACTTTACACTATAACACTGTACATGTGACCTCAGAATGACTTAACACTTCACTAGCTTAAAGACATATCAACTCCTCCTACTCAGACTAATGCGGTTAGAGCACAAACACATTCAAGACGTTAAATAAACACATTTATATTGATTTATTTAGGTTAAAAGTCACAACCGCCATACGTTATGTTCATTTTTGCCTTTCACGTCAAGTTAAGCAACGTAATAAGCTCATAAATTATGAAGCAATATTATATAGCTCACTTGGCAATTAACAGACACTCAGAAAACCTCGCTGAGTGCATCATGTCTTTGAGGCTGTGATCTATATGTATCGATATCTACAAGATGTATACTGGAATAGGAAGAAAACTCCATTGGCTTACACAAAATTATGTAACATGCATGGGTGAATAATTGAAAGACCACAGGCAAGTGGATTGAATGTTAATGTAGCACGAAGATATGTCCCGCCTCCTCTGTCCTGAACCTCCATCCTCATTGGACCGTTGGCTGTCTGCTCAGAGAGAGATCTAGATTCAAAGCTCTGGGGGATTGAGGCTTCTCTTTATAGCAACACAGGAGGAGAATCTACAGTATACCGTAGGTTCACTGAATCGCAACAGAATTGTATGAGTGAAGACCAATGAGGCATCACGGAGGCACTCGAACATCCTGATACGCTTTCTAAGACGCACAACCTATGGATGATGCCTGGGATATAAACATCTCAGCATGGATCAAAGCAACAATCTTTTGTAATCTAACCTCTGCTATTTTATCATGCGACCTTCACTTCCTCAATCTCCCTTTTAAATGTGAAGCATGGTTTGAAAGTCTCAATCACTATCACTGACGCTAAGGTTGAAACTCTAAGTCAGCTCCTGCCTCACTTCATAAACAAAAGACCACGCAGAACACTTTCATCCAGCCAGCGCACACACAAGGTCAGTGAAGGAGCATCATGAGTATCACGCACTATAGCACCTTCTCATGGCCAGTGGGGAGAACAGTATGTTTGATTGGCTTGCCTTCAACTACTGTATGACCATGCAACAGTGGAGCATTAACACATGGCTGAAGGGCAAAAGAAAGCACCCCCTGTTGTTATTTGTGCATGAAGGACTTCTCATACATGATCCTATTAACCAGATTGTTTGGCCAACTGTCGTTAAAGGTGAGGAGCAAAACTGTTTGAGTGGTGGAGAAAGCATACTCGTTAAAAGTCCAGCGTTTAAACTCCTACTTAACTTAAAATATAAAAGTATTATCAGCATAATATACATAAAGTATCAAATATCAGTAATCATTCTGCAGAAAACTAAATTATATTTGACAATTTTAGATTGCAATTACTGATGCATCAATATGTAAACATCAATTTACTGTTGAAGTCTGGTGTTTACAATATTTACTGTTAATATGTTTTATAAAATACACAAAGTTCTGTTCAAATGCAATTAAATACAGTTTTTGGGTGAAAAGGTTGGAAATCACTGGTTTAATTTTGAACTATGCATTATATTTTAAGGTAACCCATGTTTATTATGTGAAATCTAAATCTGTTCTGTAACTTGACTTTATCTGTTAAATAAATGTAGTTGAAGTTGTAACTTTCACTAATGTAGGGCATCACAGAGCAGCTCTTTGATATTCACGAGCAGTGGAGAGATGTCCCTTTTATGTCAGAATTGATAATGCTAACGCCTGAGAGTCACATCAACTATTCACATTAACTTCAGAGGCTTTTTGTTTGACTGAAATAATTAGCAAGGCACATGCTGTTCAGATGATGCATTTGGTTGAATAAATCCATGAGGTATTACATGTGTGATGCAGGTATGCAGATGAGTGGCAGGCACATAAAGGACATGTTTGATGTGAATACACAGACTGCGTTGATATGAATATACACAGGGAGAGAGAGGGAGACGAATGAAGGCGTAGCTTTGTCTCCGGCTCGAGAGCCCGGTTTGGAATGAGCAATATGCCAAGAGCATGATTGATTAAATCATGGTCAGACATCTGTGAAGTCAGCACTAACACCACAGGGAATGATATACTCCCAGCAAGCTTACACCTTGCATTTTTAATATACTGTGCACTTATGTTTATTTTATATTTAGTATCCAATTAAACGGTGCCTAAATCATTTATAATACATTTGAATTTGTAATCAATGATGAAACAAGCACAATAATGAGTGGCTCCGGTGGAATTAGTTTACTTCTCAGGAGAATTTACTAAAGGGCCGAGACATTTGAAGCTTTCATTATATGCAAATCTACTTTTTTTTTACATCCGAGTTCTTCATTGTTCACAGAGTGTAAGCTGCCAGTCATTCTGTTTTTACTGAAAGAAATTAAATGAACCTCAGGTTAATCTACAAAATGCCACAATGCACTCAATCACCGTTAAATCGAGGCGAGTCCTGCGGGGCCACCGGCTGGACTGAGCGGTTCCCTCCTTCTGTTTAGTCTATTAGTGGATTTCACAAGCCATTGAAGGAGGTTTCCAGGTAAACACCAACTCGGAAAGACAGATGTAATGTGCACAGCAAATTACACAGAAAATTGTACACCTTTGTGGCTCGGCAGGTTTCACACTAATCCTTAGCAATAGAGATAGTTTTGATGTTTTACAAAAGGCGACATTGTTGCTGAAAGAATATTTGACTGCTTGTTTGCAACTCCATGCCGTGTTGACTCAGAAAAGGCCGCAGAAAGCTTCAGGGCAGGAGACAACAATGAGGCAGGCAAACCAAGAGCCAAATATATTTCACAAGTCGTCGTCATAGTGTTACTCTAAAGGCTAACATTTTATCATAAATAAAAAGGTGCTTATTAGTTCAGGGCAGACAGTTTTTGTTATGTGGAGCTTCATACTGCATCTGTGCAGGCCAGATAAGAAAACAGTTACCATCTGTTTTCTAATAGAGCCCTAGTTTAATATCATGTGTCAAATTGATGAAACACTTGTGAATGAGGAATAATTGGTGTGTCGAGTAAATCAGAATTTGTTCGCTCTCCCCTGCCATTTTGTTTTAAGGTGTGTGTCATATTATGTATCTCCAAATTGTCTCCAATTTGTCACAGAATCAAAGTGAGGGTTAAAACGGCCTAATTGGACTGCAGAGGAAATCAAGTGTGTCGCATCTGCCTAAGGCTGGACCAAACGTCGGATTTCACTCTGGCTTTGGTGCTACACACTGATGCAAATAATCAAAAACCACCATCCATTGCCGAAAATTGAACAACACTAGCAAAAGTGCAGTTAAATGTTTTGTTTCACAGGACACGCCCACTGTACTCATTTGTTAGTCTTAAACCGTTCCCACGAAAACATTGTTCCCATTCCTAAAAAGAATGCCAAACTAATTATTGTTGGAGACGCATGCGAGAGTGGTGCATCCTTATAGATGAGTGGAAATATGTTTGGCTTCTAGTGTGTAAGGTGGCTGGCAAGGAAAAGGTTTATTTTTAGCAGCGTGTTTATGTAAGTGACTAAAATGTTCTGGAATAATGAGGAGGCTCTCCGGGCCCCTCGGTGCAGCTACAGAGACGGGACTCTCGGAGCAGCAGAGGGTGATTGTTTGAAGGAAGTTAATGAGCAGGAGGGAAAAAACGAACACAGGAGTAGAAAGGAATTGGATAAAAAAGCATGAAATACAAAAGAAATAATGACAATTACCAATGGGAGGTCTCTGTAAGGCAGGAGTGAAAACACACACAAATAGAGATGAAATGGTGACGGAGAATGTCATTACGATGGGGAGATAATTATCATGGTCAGGAAAAGAAGACCACTGGCATGAGCAAACAATGTTTTATTTGATTCGCAGCCTTTTTTGTATCCCTAAAAGCAGAAAAAAGGATTGGAGTAGCATTAAGAATCTCACTGCTGTGATTTATGAGCTCATTACTGCTTTACAGCTTACATCCAAATTGCTTTATCTCTTTTCTCATCTCATCATTACAGGATTTTTTTTCCTACATTTGGATTCATAGTCAGCTCTTATTTTTATTTCTGTAACAGAGTGTCGATCTCTGGTGCTATTTTAGTAGCAGGGCCGTGGCACAGAGCACTTAAGTGCTGTGACTCACCGAAAACACTACAAAACAAATCTACTCTCCTTAGATTCTGATATCATCTGCCGTTTTTCCTCGATATCATATCCTTCACGTACTTTCATTTGTACACCATCATTCCCGCACACATACAACAGGCACTCTCATAGTTGATCTGGTACCTCTTCTCAGGAGGGGGCTCCTGATTGGCTGGTGGTTGTGCCTGCGCTGTTTCCTGCAGGTCAGGGATATTGGCAAAGTCATCTTGCTCGGCCACACCAATGGCCAAAGCCAGGACCACCAGCTTCCCTTCACTGGCTCCCCATAAACAAATACGATAAAGAGATAGAACGAGAGGCCAGAAAAGTTGCGAAGGAGAGGGAAATCGGTCATAAAGAAGGTTTGGTGCAGGGGGGAGAGAAGAAGAGAGATGTTATTTCAGGTTACAGCAAGAACACAAAGCAGAGAGGCGGCAGGTAAATAGACCGTAGGAGAATAAACAGAAGGAAAAGTTACAGAGAAACGCTCATAAAGGAAAATCTGCAACACCAGCAGTAAGCATTTTGTCCAGGGAAGGATATTAGTAAGAAACCATAAACTAAAAGGTCAGATTATTAATAACGTAATAGTTTTAATGAAGTGGTGCTGACAACAGGTGCAGGCTGTGTTCACATCGTACACACAACAAATAATTAAAGGGAACTGCTGGTGATTATTTAATGATAGTTAATGGATGTGGTATTCAGCAGCGTGCACAGATGTAAAAGGTATGTATTTACAGACCCACACACCACACTCAGAGTAATGATTCTAGTTATTTAACCTGCCTTCTGCTTTCACTACACACTCACCTTTCACATCGAACATGCCTGTCGCCTTTCTCCAGAATTAAGATTGAATTAAGCCTCATTAAGAAGATCTGGACTAATTGTTTCTATTTGAGTGACATAGTATCTTGAGGTGCCCTGTGTGTCACCGTTTTCTGGGTCAGTGCTCTCTCACTCTCCGTGTTGCACTCTTCTCATTTCATATTTTCTATTACGCTACACTCGCTCTCCAAATCCCCTTTCCCCCCCTCATCGCTATCCTCTCCTACCCTTAATTCTCTGTCTCCCTCCCTTCCTCCCGTCACCCACACCCACCGTTCTATAGCTTAAGCCTCTCACTGCGTTACAATACCTCGACTAAGAGCATACAGGGCTGCCAAGCTGTGGAAAGATATCACCCCAAACTTCCCAATTTCATCTTTCTGACATGACGTCAAAAGCTTTTCTTGCTGCACCATAAAGCCTGGTTTAATAATCTCCCTGTTATACTTCTATACTCAAAACTTTTATGTCTGAATGACAGCCACTTTCAGATGAATTTAAAACCCCTACACGGCACCCGTCACAAATGTTCATTTAGAGATTTTATCAATTTTAGCTTTCTATATGAACTGTTTATCCATTACTTTGAACATATGAATTTAACAACTTATTTGAATTGTATATCCATGATCTTTAGCTAATTATCTGTCTGAAGTACTTTTTATTGAGCGAAGGAAGAGCATAGAAAATGTTTTGTGTCACTGTTTATTTCTATTCATAAAAAATAATTATAATAATTATATTATATCATTTTGAAAAATGATAAGAAAAAATAAGCAAATTATTTAGAGAAAGGATTATTCAAAATTAAATTAAACTGACAAGGATTAAATGAATGTTTATTTACTTAACAAAAGAGACCAAATAAATCTAAATCAAAGAATAGGAAGATAACTCAGATAAGGAAGTCTAGGAACATTGATTTAAATCTTATCTTCCTCAGTCTACCTTATCTTCAAGAACTTCTGTAGCTAATTAGCTGAACGCTGTCTTTTTTTTTACTCATTTTAACTTTTTTCATTTATACTATTTTTTATTCTGTTTAACTTCTCTGCTTTATTGCTGACTAGTTTTTACAGCAATAGCAACATGTGGTGTTAATGTGTTACAGCTCACTAAATATTCAGAATGTACCTATAAATTAGATATGGGTTATTTATGAATGGCTATTGGATTGCCCTTCTCCCATCACGTTTTTTTAGTATGAGCATTTACACTCAAGAATATTGGTTAAACACTTCTGTAGATGTGTCTAAAGGTAATGGCGAAGGGGCGAGAGAAGGAATGGACATTAATGACACTAGGTCATTGATTTTTAGCCAAAAAGCTTGAAGACCAATCACCCATGAGATCCATTTGATCAAATGGCTCCAAAGGCAGGATATCTGTGTCAATCACATCAACACACCCACAGAGCAGTGATTCACCCAGATAGGGAATCAGGCCAACATTGAAATTAACTGGCTTGAACAAAGGGTCATGTCTATTACTGGGCCGCTATGCCATCAATCATAAGAGGTGTTGCAGAGAAGCAAATGCATCATAAAGTATGACCTCAACCGCACATTTACGATGATGAGAGGCTAGTTTAGTCGCGTGTGATGGGCAATATTCTCAATGACCTTGGTGGTGGCATGTGCTACGTTACTAATGCTCAGATAGCCAGTGACATTAGCCCAGCTGCGTCATACTGAACTGCCCCGAGAAGCATTAACCCAAATAAAAAAAGAACAAATGGTAAAAAGCTACTGTAAAAGGATTCTGTGCAAAGGGACATGAAACACATGTTGTACCTTGGCAGTGTCCTTCCTCACCCCCTCCCCCCTCCCTCTCTTATCGGCTCTCCCTCCACTCCTGGCCTGGAGTAACAATATGTTGTAGGAGTAATGGTGCTGGTGACATAAGATCAATGCTCCAGGGTTAACACAAACCTACACACAGCTGCTTAACCCTGGTTCTTCCGCTGATGCACCATCACAAGTGGACGGTGTGATACACACACATGCTTACACACATGTCATCAGGCATACAGCCGACACAGCATTAATTTACCATTAGCATAAATGTTTCAGTATCACAGGAGAAAAAAGGTGTTGTTTTAGGAGAAATAACTCATGAACTATGGATTAGGTGTGTCTCCTTTAAGCAGGATATTCAACAGTCATTCCAACGGATGACTATGAAATGGGACGTTTAAGAAACCATCTCATGAATATTGTGAGATGGCACCACAGCTCTGTCCTGTAAAGCCAATTGCAGCGGACAGGCTGACGCCATCCAAACAGATGTTGCTGTTTAGCAGAGCATACAGTGTAAACATTGAACAACATTTCACAGGATAGAAACTGCCCTCAATATCTCACAACTTCCTTGTCATTTTGGAATGCTCATGAAAAATGTGTTTTAGATTGCTCAATAAGAAGCTTTGTAATTCATCTCAACTGATCATTACTACAGCTCTGTAGGTTATAACAAATCATGAAAGCTATCATTGCTCACGATTTATTTATTCATTCAATAAACGCTTTCAGTCGAGATTTGAAAGGATCATAAAGCATATATCAAGTAATATAATCCCCCTATGACAACAACATCTAATAATAAACATAATTTATTATGGATAATATCCCTGTGTGATCTATGACATCGTCATAAATTAGATGTTGATCCATCTCTTATACAACTGAGGGCTTAGAGCAAAAAAAACAAACAGCTTATTTAGATTCATAACTCCATCCTTATTAAAATGTATAATAGATTTCTCATCTCATATGCATAACTTCCTCATTCTGCATTCAAATGATTAGCTGCATGAACTACTGTAAATTGCCTTTCTAACTGTATTCAGAATAACTCCTTGAAAGTGTGACAGTGAAAGCAATGACTTCATCTTGAGCACTTGCACACACACAATCTCAAACATCCGAACTATATATAGAGTTTGTATTTTGAGAAAGAGAGAAGTAATATCCTTCCCTGGATATCAGATACAAAAAAAATTGAAAATAAAACACCCAAAAGATAAGAAACAGAACAGAAAGATAAAAGCAGATCGGTTAGGATTAACAGAGCTACATATTTAACTACTTGATTCTCAGATAAGCTTTATAATAACCTTAAACAAACACATAGAATAGCATAGCAAGTACTTTAAGACACAGATAGACACAGAGGCTTAAGCAGGGGACACCACAAAGACTCCATGAAGACATGAAGTTAGAGCTGAAGAGACTCACAGGAAAGATTTGACGTCCAGGCCACGATTTTTCATCTGGTCCATCGTGTAATCCCAGCTGCCAGGATTCGCTTGTGAGCGCCCTCTTGCTCCACCTCCCCTACAGCGAGAGGCCCCCGCTCCTGATGGGCTGCCCCGAGCACCTCTGGGACCGCCTCTTGTACCTGCACCCCCACCCTCACCACCTCCCTCTCCTCTCCCAGCACCCCCGCCTCCCCCAGGCTGACCAGGTGCTGTGTGTAACTGTCCCAAACTCTGGGATGTTGTGGGGGGGTTGCCGAGGAGAGGGCCCGGCGGGTGGATGAGAGGCTGCTGGAGACTCTGCTGGCGGAGCAGCGTCCGGGGCCGGGTGGGGATGTGCTCCAAAGTGGACGCGTACGATAAGACCGGATCCCCAAAGCTGGGAGGGCAGAGGAGCAGGGAGGAAAGAGAGCGTGAAGAAGGCCACGGCCGGCATAGGATGGGATGATGAGGAGGGAGAGAGGAGTCAGAGGGCACGGAAGAGGAAGAAGAGGATGTAGTAGAGGAGCCGTGGCAACAGGAGGTGAGGTGGTCAGGGGATGAGACGTAGAAGAGAGGGAGAGAATCATCAGATATGAGACATGGTGGCACAGGGCAGAAGGGAGACATGGGAGAAGAGGTCAGGTTGACGTCAGGATAGAAACAGGAAAGTGCATCAAAACAGGAAGTTGGGGGGGAGGAGGAAGCAGGAAGAGTGATGTTGGATGACAAAGGGGGAGGAGCATGGGGAGGTGGAGACAGGAGGAGGAGGAGAGAGAAAGAGAGCACCGTGAGGCAGCAGCAGTAACAGCAGTAGCAGAAATAGCAGTAGAAGGTGCAGCCCGAGTGGTCGCTGTGTGCCGAGTGCTGCTCATGGGCCCGAGTCGGGCAGCAGTGCGCAGTGTGTGAGCGAGCCCTGTGCGTCAGGTGTGTGTGCGTCCTGCGTGTCAGAGCGTGCTGTTTGCGTGAGAGTGTGTTTCGCGTGGGGAGTGGGCGGATGTGCACCGTCCGCACAGGGCCGCGTCGCGCTGTGTGTGTCGAGCGTTTGCAGGTTCCCAGCCTTCTCGTCGAGGGTGTTTTGGTCTGATGAGCGATCCCCATGTCCTCTACTCGTCACTTGACTTGTTCCATCTCTAATAGCCTCTCTTCCTGTCTCTAAGTCTTTTGAATACATGCTGCATCTCTAGAGACATCTCAACAGCCAACCAAGTCCTACAGTACGACTCCCTCCCTCTGTCAGCCTCTCCTTTTCCACTCCTCCCTTCTATTAATGCTGGTTCATTGCCTTTATTACAAATGTTATTGCTTACATGTTGTTTGGATGTCATCACAGTGCACTTACACCAACTTGATTCCTATTTTGTTGGCTCTACAGTATCATGTATCATCTTTGATATATGTATTTCCAAATATATCCTCCTCTCACATCGCTGTGTAACCCAGACTACCAGAATGAGGTCATGAGAGCCACTCACATCAGTTAGATGCAGTTTATTCTGCTCTGCATTACTTCACCTCAGATCATTTAGGCTTTTAGTGTCCATCATACTTAACCGTCACAACTGAAAGGATAAAAAGGGTAATGGAAGGTTTTGCAAAAAGAAAAACAGTTTGTTGGAGAAAACCATAAGAAGAGTGGCTTTTACACAGCGACAGAATGATGGAGGGACCGATGGGACCGATAAGAGCAGAGGGTGACGATGGAGGAGAGACAGAAAAATGGGGTGCGAGACACAAACACAAGAGACATAGACACTTATAGCAGCCTGAAAATAGAATCCAATTATAGACAGGGGGCAAAAAGAAAGATGAGAAGAGAAGGAGGGAATGAGGAGTGAGGTAGTGATGAGCGTAAATGTGTTGTGGAGGAAGAAGTCACAGGCACGAGGTGCGAAAGGAAGGTGCAAAAGCATCACGAAGAACTGAAAATTAACTGTCTCATTCACAACGCGCTGTTTATAGACCCTAACTCATGTCATATGTCTGTGGGAAAGATGCAGTCAGTAACCAGCATGTGGTTCACATTTCAGTCTAAATCTTAATTAAAAGAGCGAGTTCGCACGACATGAGGCATTACTTAAGTCAGTGTGAAAATGAGACTATTTCTGTATCTCGTGTTGGAGAGTACACTTGCAGGCATTGCAGTTCCTCACATAAATAAATCATATTCTCCTGCAGATTCATACATGAGGCTCTATTGTGCAGCAGCTTGCCCACTGTGACAGCTGAAGGCTTGAGCCAGTGTGATACCGCTCCAGAAACTATTGTTATCGTCTCATGATGACGAGGGTTCACCTTTCTTCAGTGCTCAGCTCACACTATGATCTGTGGCCAAAATCTCACCTTGACACCTGAGCTGCTCTTTCCTCCCTGCTGAATGTGACCTGACCCCCCCACTCAGAACTAATCATAGCTGTGGCCGAGGCACAAACCTGTAAGAATATGTCAAATGGAATCATTTAAAGGTGGGGTAGGTAAGTTTCAGAAACCGGCTCGAGTGCACTAAAATTTGAAAGTACACAGCCGAAAAGAATCCGCCCCTTCCTTCAGACTTCCTTACAGAGCATCTCCTCCAACACACATGAACGCGCACATGACGTCAGCAGACTGGTGAAAGTGGCCGCCTGTTGCTGGAGTCATTGAAGTACTGCTGCAATGCACACCCAATGAGGGCACGCCCAATGACGGCACGCCCAATGAGGGCACGAGATACATTTGTGCGTGCACGAGATGGAAGGCTGACCGACAGGGCGGCCCGGCTAAACGGATTGGTTGTACTTTTTACAGTATTACGGCTTCCACAGATGACATTTTTTTATGGATTTTTTGTCAAATCACTTAAGATATTCATTGCTACCGGGATGTTAAGAGCATTCCATGGAATATAACAAAAAGTGTATCTCGAGCCGGTTTCTGAAACTTACCTACCCCACCTTTAATGGATAAATATACAATTTGTATCCTCCTGATACTAATTCCGTTACCTTAACTTGCGTACTGGGTGATACCAGCGCGTTAAAAACATATTTTTAGACTTATTTTTTGGTGTGAAATATTGCCAAATTACTGACTTATTTCTTGCTAACATGTCAGCTGTTTCGGTTCTTTTTCATACTGTATCTGTCGATGGTTACAGATTCACAGTTTTGGATCGGACAGGTTGTGTGGATATGGAGCATGTGTTGTCGTTTTTGTGTAGAGTAATTGAGCAGAAAAATAATATGATAATGAGATATCGGTTCATTGCATACACTCGCATACTTGCTGACACATGATCTTGCATTTTAGGCTATATTGGAGGCCTTTCCAACAGTGGTGTTGGAACAACTCTCGTAATAATGTGTTTTTATTCTGCTGCACAGTCACTGAAACAGTTGTTCTTTCTACCCGGGTTTGAACTCACTCGCTGGGTCTCAATCCTCCAGACTGCATGTGGCCCTGGACGGTCTGCCACCTCCCGGCCTTCACTCCCTCTGACACCATGCTCTTCACGCTGTCACTGCGATAAGGACCCCCCCCATCATCCCCATGCCCAGTTGCTGCCCCCTTCTGACCCCCTGACACTGCCCCACTAAGAGAGAGAGACAGGGTGCGGAGGTCCCACAGCAGACAGAAGGTATAGAAGAGGGACAATAACGACAGGCAGAGGAGAAAAAGACCAAAGAGCGTGAGAAAAACAGACACAAATACTCACACAACCATACATAGGAAAATAGATTGAGCAACCACATGGCTAAGGAGGTGAGACAGATCAGTAGTGTGTGAATGGGCAGGTCTAGTTTTCCAGGCCAACAGAGAGGCAGGAGGATGAAAAGGTCTGTGTGGAGTCCAGTGGGGAGAAAGAGAGGGATTGGGGAGAGGAGAGCAGGGAGGAAGAGGAGGAGGAGATTTACAGGCAGCCTGTGGAGGATGGAAAACCAACAACAAGTCACTCCTTTGGGCCTGGAGGACCAATACTACAGCTGCCAGCATTCACTAGTGGCAACATTGTTCTGACGCCAGTGATTTGGGGCTCATTCTCTCATTCATTTGGGCCTTGAGATGTGCTAGTATACAAGGAAATTGAATAGGAGCAACTTAGAGCAACTCGAGTAAGGCTTGTGCTGAAGTGCCTCACGAGAAAATAACTCATTTTGGAAGTCATCCAAAGGGCCATTTGGTTAAATACAAGTGCATTTGCCCCAAAAAACATCAATTACAGTCTATTTTTCGATCCTAATGTCCAATATTTAATTGTTAAAGATCTGCTTGTCATCTGATCACCACTTAGCATCAATAACAGTAAACAGGAAGTAGTGAAATACCTACACCACACAGTAGAAAGGATCATAAGGGTAATCTAATCATATCGACCTCGCACAAAGGTTCAGAAATTAATCAGTGTTTATACTTACAGTAAGAGCACTTGCCAACTCAGATTTCCTTTAAAAACTGGTTTTAGGTTTTGGGTTTAAAATGTCAAATCTACTGAAAGCAGTGATGATCAAAAATAAAGCACAGTAGTGCCCTCTGGTGACATGACTACATTTCATTAAAATGCATGGTGCTCCTGCTCAGGGAGACATCAAATGTGAGGCACAGAGGACGATGTCGTCTGGTGTGTAAGCGAGGAGGGCGGGGGGGGGGTTGGGCTACACTTACATCATGTCGCTCTGAAGGTCACCTTTCACATTTAATTCTGACCAACTGACCTGACATGGATAAGTTATCAATCACAACAACAGCATGGATGACACTGCTGAAGCAACGGTCAACACAAGAGACATGGGCCTCATCCATCGAGCACAAGGTGAACGGCTTTCTGCTTTAAAAAGATGGGAAGACGTAAATAAATGGGACCATGAATCACTAAGAGTATTTACAGGAATATAGCTTTCAGTTAGCGATCCTGCTCCCGTCTGAACTTCTGACAGTAGAAGTGATTTGTAAAAGAAATATAGCCACAAAGTCTTGACATTTTTTTTCATCACGAAGCTGTCGGATTGATCAACTCAAGTATAATATACTTGATGCATACATTTGAAAAATGGTTTATGTCCATCTGACATTTTTAAGTTTCTGTCTCTTGCTGATACAAGGTTTTTAAAGAGCTCAATATTGAAAAATTACAGTATTGAATGTCCAGTCCAATACATCCTTAAACATGCAGATTGATGGTTTCCTGTGTGATGAATGAGGCCCGATGTCATTAGAAAGATTGAAAGCTGCTGATCTCGAGAGAATCTTAAGCAGGAAATAATTCCCAGCTGTGTGTTGGCTGTATCGGCATATTATTGGTTGGAGTCGAGAGGTCGTCCCATGTCTCTCCTACTTAAAAAATATCTTCATAATGTTTCCTATTTTTAAATGAATTTCCGAAAGTTTGCTGGCTCAAACACTACCGATAAAAACAACTTGTTTTAACACTACTGCAGTGAAGAGTTCATTTTTTACCGCTGCAAAGACAGGACCGGCTGAAAAACAGCTCTATGGACAATAAATGACATCCTTGATTTTATTTTTTTTAAATGAACGTCTCAAACACACGCACTAGGGTATACAGCAGGTTTCCTGAGATCAGCAACCATCATCTGCAGGCAGTTTCCAGACATTAATCCATATATCCACCGCCTTCATAAGCACTGCTGCCTCCCTTCTTCAGGCAATTTAACACATAGTCCTCAACAACTAGGTCTATTAAAGATGACCAGTTATTAGACAGTGAATCAGACACATGCCTGGTAGCAGGATGTCTGGGCTTAGAGCCTCCTTGCGCCCAGAGGGAGATAGGTATGACCTTGCTACTGCTTTATTGGATTCAATTGCCTCGTGAATGAGAAAAGGACTTTTATTGCATCAAGTAAAAAACACTGTTACCTTATCTTCTGATAGACACACAGTTCAAGTGCTACAGCGTAAGTGCAGTACACATCAGATTTTTATGTTGGGATGTATGTAAACCACAGGTGAACACTGGCAACACACTGCAACCTGGTTTAACGGTCAACCCTCCACAACAACAACAACAACAACCGATCACACACGCAAAAGACGGGGAGATACACAGATTACGAAGAAGGTGGGTTAAAGTATACACCTGTCTTTTAAAAAGGAAAGCTACGAGGGTTGTCCGTCTCCATGGTTACAGCCCCATGGGAGAGAGGTGAGGTTAGAGGTCGGGAGTTAGTGGGACCGGCAGGGCTGTAGGGAGTGGGGGGGCAGCTGAACATGCGCCTCTGTGTTTATTAGGAGGTGACGGGGATGTGAGGAGTAGCGGCAGAAATTAGCCCGGGGAGGTTACAGGGCTGTGCTGCTTTGACGCCGCAGTAATGGCCGAATTGCTGTTGTGGGGATGCTGTAATGTGCGTGTGTGACATTTCCTACACTCACATTTCCCAAGCAGACTATGAGTAATCATTAGTAACCATTTGTGCCCTCCAGTGTTCTGACATCGGGTGGGTTGTTATTATTGCTGTGATTACTATTGTTGATGGAAATCGCATTAAACAACAATTTCAAGTCCAGAAATGTGTGGTTTGTGTATATTGCCACACTGTGACATTTATAGCATGGGCTTTTCTTTTTCAAAACGCCCTTGGCCGAACATCCCCGGTTACTCATGAGAACATTTTCACTCAAGGAAAATAAAAAGAATCAAGATTATGAAACTTGGTTGATTTAATTAGCTGTCAGACATTATAACATCCACATTTAATAGTTCAATTTGATGAGTGGCTTGTGGTGATGCACAACTGGAAAATAGGGTGTTGGGGGTGGAGAGGAACAGGAAGGACAGGACTAAAGGAGAGGAACTAAGGAAGGACACTTGCCCCTGCCTCCTTACAGCCCTGCTCAGGGGAAAACTCTTACCAACCTTGGACCAAGACTCACTTGAGTGTGAGGCGTGGATCTCCATATGGGGCATAGGGAGAAATGTTTAGTACGAACTCCTTGGGTGGATAGGAGCTCCACCTCTGCTGCACTGTGCTGCTGTCATTGTTATTCCAAAAGTCTCTGTCTAGATCACTGCGGCCAAAGAGAGAGACAGGTCAGAGCAACACAACTTTGACGGCCTCGGCACCAACCAGCCAATCGCAGCAGGCGTTCCTGCTTTGATGACATGGCTTAGTTTGAGGCAGATGGTTAGTCTCATACAGCTGCACTGAATGGGAGTTTGAAACAAAACAGGCCCAGATTAATGTCTATTTTTCCACCCGCACTTGACAAATGTGTGGTTAGATTTTAAAATAAGAAAGGGGCAGCCTGGGGGAGAAAAGGCATTCACAAAAGCTTTTTCATAAGAGCAATGTGCTGTAGCAAAGACACAGAGAGATAGAGGAAGAGAGCAAGAAAAGAGGAAGTTATAATCTGATGAATACACACAGCATGTGATTACATTCTGTTCATCTAGCACGGCACCACTGATGAAACACATTAGAGTTAACATTAAGAAGTCAGGCCCCCATCCTCGGCATGAGCAGTGAGAACACATAAACGCATGAGACACAAGGCAGAGATATAAATCGCAGACAGTTAAGTAGAGGAGGAAAAGGTGAGCAGAA